AGTGATGAGGGTTACATAATGAGCAGCCCCCGAAGGAACGGGAATAACAGCTGTGCATTTTCCAACTGTAGCAAGAATGACATCGCCGACTTTTTGACGTAAGCTTCCCGGCAATACTCACAATACATGTTTTGTTTTTTTATAGTTAGGAACTGCACATAAAGAAGAAAACTGATTGCAATCTGTTGCTTTTTATTGCGAATCAAGATAATGTACATGACCTGAACCACAGTTGTAAGCCCATAAACAAGGAGCATTTGCGCTTTCTGTTTAGGTGACAGAGTCGAAACAAAACAGTAATGTTCATCGACCTGACAATAAACCAGTTTTTCCAGGCTAGGCGAGTAACCATCAATTAGAAATGTTTTTATTGACAAAACAAAAAACGCTGTCTTCCGCCTCCTTGTTAGACATATGCCCATGCCCATGTGCAAAATAGTTTTTTTTTTAACAAAGGGATCCATTGGTGTGCTTACTGTATTCTGTTGTATATGTCAATTTTGCCGAAAAACTTCAGGTGTCGTGTTGCTTATACCAAATCTGACGGCTATTTTTCCAACCTAAATAACAAGCAACAGATCCACATTTACACGATGAGTACTTCGACGAACACGAAAAAGAATAAGTCCTTACTGGGGATGTGGGAATAGTAAATTTTGGAAACGAAACGAAGCATAAATCAATAGTGATGACAGTGAATGAAACACGAATAGTAAATGAATAATGTAAAAATAATTTTCGAACAGTAAGTAGACCATTTTCAAAACAATTCTTGAAAGCAACATTTTATTTGAAACAGATATTCACAAACTGTCACCAAAGAATATTCAGTTAGGTATGACCAAATGAATATACCACAATGGTATCGTATGGTATGGAAAAAGAATATTTAGGTCCATCGGGGCGAACTAGCGCATAGCGGGCCGCTCCCACGTCGGGACAGATAGGCCTAACGTGTCCGCCACGTCGTGGGCCCGTTCGACTGCGCATAGCTGCGTCATTAAATTCATACTGCGTAGCGCAGCATACCACTTTGACGATGCAACGTTTTCGACCCGTAACGCAGGGCACCGCCAGAGAATATGATCTAAACTGGCAAAGTCTGAGCAAAGCGCGCAAATGTTTGACGTCTGAATTTCAGGCTAAATTTTGTGCAAGAGTGCGGGACTTGGGTATGCCCCGACCTGCAGAAGTCTGAGCGGTAATGCCTGAGGCCGGTTCAGTTTACTGTGCAGTGGCGGATACTTTCCCCTCCTCAGATAAAAGTTCTTGCAAAGCTTATTGTACGTTGTTGAGGATCTTTTTTTTCCAGAACCTCGTCGTCACAATATACCACAATAAGGTAAACTAATATAAGTTATACTTCTAGTACTAGAGCTATAGTAATATTTTATAACTCAGGTTCAAATACTGCATTCACTAACGCTATGAACGTCAGAGTTTGTCACTTACTTTAAATTGGGACATAAAAACTAGAGAATTTTCAACCAAACTCTAGAAATACAGCTAAATATATAATGAAGCAAGCCAAGCTACCATCACAACATGGCCGGCGCACCGAAACCGTGCGACAATCCGTGTTTAAATCGATATATGCAAGAACAGTTTACGCAAATACAACACTTGCATCTGTTGTTAGGCATGAAGCTTCAGTTATTGCTAGGTGAAGACAAGAGCTGATCAACCTGATACAGCTTCAACATCGTAAAACGTGAGCAAAAGGGGAGAGTTCAGTAGAGGTGGAAACGGGCATCGGGTTGCCCGAAAGATCGAGGCCGGCCCAGCCCGCGGGTCCTGCTCAGGCGGGCTGATATCCTCTCATGTCTGACGCGGGATGGGCTCGGGTTACAATGTTTTTCAGTCGGGCGGGTCATACCAGATGCAAATCCGAGTTAGTCTAAAATGTAGACGCCCTGGCGGAAGTGTTTTCCACTCTCTATATATTTGACGTGAAACATCAATCATAGTATACAACCGTACTGCAACCTATCTTTGCGTCGTTAGGACAAAACCTATACGCATCAATACTTGTCACATCTTGAGTCCGAGGTATTGTCGGGTCAAAACTATCCGCTAAAGACGATGGAATTTTCGCCATGAATGAAACAGCAAAAAAATTTCACAGTTAGCAGCCATTCTCTTTGCCTTATTTGGAAAGATTTGCACATTATATATCTATCACTCTGCAGGTGGCGATATTCAAAATGTCTATTTCGAAAAGACGTATGCCACGTCATTTCTTTACCAAACAAGGCGGCAGACCTTCCAGGGGATGTTATAGATGGGCAAACATTCTGTAAGGAATACTACAGGGAACCCAGATACTTGAACTCCACTTATATAAAGGTGAGACGTGCGTCTTCTATATTCTTCTCAAATGATTTACAGGTGAATCAATGACGTTTTTATTGGTGTGTGGTACCAAACTTTCGATAAAAAGTTGCAAAAAATACCACGGTATGAAATGAGTTATAGTTTGAATGGATGTGTTCTTGGCACGCTATAATATACAAACTGAACGAGAAGTGTTATAACAAAAAAGAAGAGACATGAATGGCCTCAATGCCAACCGGTTCAATCACACATGACAGAAATGGCTGCTCAATACAATCGCTATTTTTAAATGTGACTACAATTTGAGTTTTTACACCACACAGGCAATTGATTACCACTCACTGGTAGCACTACAAGCGTGAATGAAAAGACAAATGTTATGGGGGGCTTTCAAAAGGAACGTAAAATAAAGTGTCTCGGCCTACACAACCGAAGTACACAATGGGCAAAGACAGTGCGAGAGTTGTAACATTGGCCACTGAGAGTGTCTTTACTTAGTCAATTTTATTCTTTCACAATGTAGCAACTTGCTTTTCATGGCCGAAAAGTTACTTCGAGGATTCTAAATCGCTAATTTCATTCGAGTCGTTACACCATGCTTGGTTAGGGCATTGTACTTTTAGGCTACCGCGTTTCAGCTTGGGGGGCCAGTGTCAAATGCATAAAAAAGTATACACGATGAGAACATCGACGCTTATACCATCGTAAAGCATATTTTGCGAAGCTGTGCAAGGTCAGTGCATGATAAAGAACTCCAGATGGCAGAAACTTTAGAGCCTTTGTTAACGACGTCTCTCATAATCATCTCGTGGTTTTGGGACGTAAAGCTACAGATAATATTATTAAGAATATAAAGGCGATGGTAGTATCCGGCAGGCTACCTGGCACAGGTTTGAGAAAACAGACATGCAAAAAAAGGGAGAGATGTAAACCACACCAAGCGGGTAAACCGTAATCTCGGATTTCCTCTTGCACGTGTAAAAAATGCCAATTGAGATAAAATACGTCCGCATGTATGGAAGGCTTCCCAAAAGACCTTTCAGAAGCTCCAAAGTAAGACCATCACTTTGCATTTTGTATTCTGACTCTGGAATCGAGAGAAATCAAATGGCAGATGTGTTGGCAAATGCAGGTGATCATTGTACAGAAAGAAACCCGCCTCTATTAGATATACAATAGCTATGCGACATACACGAAATTCTACGTAAGCGAAACGTAAATTGTACTCATATACTCCTCGTTTTCAGGCAGCATAAAGGACTGGATATTTTAGGTTGTCGACCAATATCTTCAGTGCCGATTAGACTCTCAGCTACCAAGACAATTGACAATTGTATCGCCTGAGAGTCGAAACTGCTAAGATAATCCTTTTTTTTTGGGGTTCACCATGCACAATCTTCAACCTATGCTTTTGTGGCTACGACAACGAGGATGTGAACTACGTGCTGCTTGGCTGTCGAAAACACCACCTTAGGTTTTCCCGGTGATGGCGTCCCATTAACAGAGTTTATTGGCAGAATGTTGAATCTCATACAAACCAGGAAGGTTTAATGTAGAGAGTGACAGTTCGTGAATGGCGTAGAAAGCTGGGCTACCTATACGGTTTAAAAATAGCACGAGAGAAGGAGGGTAGCTACGAGGGTATACCTACCATTTGGTCCCGCGTTGATACACAGTGAACTTGACTGGGTCTTTTGGGGGGTGGCTACCCACTCCGTCCTAGTAGGCGGTACCTTCTTCAAATCCTTCTGGTATTGTATATGTGGTCAAAGAAGGGTGCGCACTTACGAATGCGTTCCACAGGCTTCATGAGCTAGTAGACTGTGCAGGCATGTGCGTGAGGTGCGAGTGCAGAATCTTTATCGTGTTTCCAAGAAAGCGATGACTTGTCTCTTCATGACCCACCGAATAAAAATAAATAACGACCGACTACATTGTGGGCAATCACCATTGCTTTTAGCCCCATAAAGTCCACTTTTAGGCCCAAAAAATGCTCCTAATGGCATGGGGAGAAGAGACCCTGATATAAAGTGCATGCGTACAATGACACTCCACGTAGGTTGTGCCAGACCTTTATGCGATGTACTCCCCGTCTTCTGAGCCCATTAGGCTAGCTTGTTTATTTTCCGGTAATACATTAGTGTTAGCTGGCTACAAGCAACAATAAAATATTTCGACTGAAAATACCTATATTTGACGTGAAACACAATCATAGAATACACCGTACTGCAACCTATCTTTGCGTCGTTAGGACAAAACCTATACGCATCAATACTTGTCACATCTTTAGTACGAGGTATTGTCGGGTCAAAATATCCGCTAAAGACTATGGAATTTTCGCCATGAATGAAACAGCAAAAAAAATTTCACAGTTAGCAGCCATTCTCTTTGCCTTATTTGGAAGCATTTGCACATATAAGCTATTCACTCTGCAGTGGCGATATTCAAATGTCTATGTCGGAAGACGTATGCCACGTCCATTTCTCTACCAACAAGGCCGGCAGACCTTCCAGGGGCATGTTATGGATGGGCAAACATTCTGTAAGGAATCTACAAGGAACCGAGATACTTGAACTCACTTATATAAAGGTGACACGTGAGTCTTCTATATTATCTCAAATGATTTACAGGTGAATCAATGAGTTTTATTGGTGTGTGGTACCAAACTTTCGATAAAAAGTTGCAAAAAATACACGGTATGAAATGAGTTATAGTTTGAATGGATGTGTTCTTGGCACCTATAATATACAAACTGAACGAGATATGTTATAACAAAAAGAAGAGACTGAATGGCCCTCAATGCCAACCGGTTCAATCACACATGACAGAAATGTGTCTGCTCAATACAATCGCTATTTAAATGTGACTCAATTTGAGTTTTATACACCACACAGGCAATGATTACCACTCACTGGTAGCACTACAAGCGTGAATGAAAAGACAAATGTTATGGGGCGGCTTCAAAGGAACGTAAAATAAGTGTCTCGCGACCTACACAACCGAAGTACACAATGGGCAAGAACAGTGCGAGAGTTGTAACATTGGCCACTGAGAGTGTCTTTACTTAGTCAATTTTATTCTTTCACAATGTAGCAACTTGTTTTTCATGGCCGAAAAGTTATTCGAGGATTCAAAATCGCTAATTTCATTCGAGTCGTTACACCATGCTTGGTTAGGGCATTGTACTTTTAGCTACCGGTTTCAGCTGGGGGGCCAGTGTCAAATGCATAAAAAAGTATACACGATGAGAACATCGCGCTTAACCATCGTAAAGCATATGTGCGAAGCTGTGCAAGGTCAGTGCACCATGCATAAAAAAATCAGATGGCACAGAAATATTAGAGCCTTTGTTAACGACGTCTCTCATAATCATCTCGTGGTTTTGGGACGTAAGCTACAGAATATTATTAAGAATATAAGGCTTGCTGGTAGATATCCGGCAGGCTATGGCACAGGTTTGAGAAAACGACATGCCAAAAAAGGATAGATGTAACCACACCAAGCGGTAAACCGTAATCTCGGATTTCCTCTTGCACGTGTAAAAAATGGACGTGAATGAGTACTTTCAGTGTGAGTAGAAGTGAGTATGAACATGAGTGGGTGCTCATGAGTGTGAGTAGGAGTGAGTATGAACATGAATGAGTATTCTGAATGTGAATAGGAGTGAGTATGAACGTGAGTGACTACTCTGAGTGTGAGTATAAGTGAGTATGAATGTGAGTGAGTACTCTGAGCGTGAGTAGAATGAGTATGAATGTGAGTGAGTATTGTGAGTGTGAGTAAGAATGAGTATGAACGTGAGTGAGTACTTTGAGTGTGAGTATGAGTGAGTATGAACGTGAGTGAGTACTCATGAGTGTGAGTAGATGTGGATTTGAACGTGAGTGAGCACTCATCAGTGTGAGTATCCGTGAGTATGAACGTGAGTGAGTAATCATCAGTGTGAGGAAGAATGAGTGAGAGCTTGTGAGTGTGAGTAGGAGTGATTATGAACGTGAGTGAGTACTCTGAGTGTGAGAAGGAGAGAGTATGAACGTGGGTGAGTTTATGAGTGAGAGTAGGAGTTTGAACGTGAGTGAGTACTGATGAGTGTGAGTATTCGTTAGTATGAACGTGAGTGAGTATTCATGAGTGTGATTAGGAGTGAGTGAGAGCTCATGAATGTGAGTAGGAGTAAGTATGAACGTGGGTGAGTACTCATGAGTGTGAGTAGACTTGACTACGAAGGTGAGTGAGTTGCTGTGAGTGTAAGTAGAAACGAGTAGGAACGTGAGTGAGTTACTATGACTGTGATAAATATTTGTAACCATCGCAAAGGCGTCCTCAATACGTTGGAAATAACGGGCACTATGGCATGCAAGCTTCCTGTACGTAAAAGCCTTCAGGTAGTTTGGAAACAGGGGGAGCCATCCTACATCAGATGGGGGGGGGGGGGGGAAGGGCGAGATGACCGCGCAAAACTCGAGTTGAGAGTAGCCGTTCATTTTATTGTAATTTGAATTTTCTAGGCTGAATAGCTTTGAGCTGCCTGTCTCTATAGCTACCGTTCTTGCTGCACTTACCTCTTGCGCCTTCAGTCTACGCAACGCGCTGATAATACATGTAAAACAACAAGGTCTTGAGAAGCCCTTTAACGAGAATCGCCGCGCGAGCCGGTTCAGAAAAAAGAAATGCGCTGCGCAAGCGACAAAAAAAAAACGCAGAAATGGCCCACGAGAGAAACAACATTGTGTGCGCTACGCACATTGTGCGCAGTGATTTTGCAGTTTCTACCTCTGCGTTGTCCCTCAAGTGACGGTTGCCTTGAACAAAAACCTTAAGTGATCTCATGACTTCTGAAGCGCGAAGCTGTGTGCAAACTTCGCCTTCCCAGTGCCCCATAGGGAAAAAAAAGGAAAGCTTGGAGGACGGTGGAGGTTCGCCGTCAATAGTATAGTATGCGATAGCGTAATCGGACCCTGTTCACATCGCCGTTTCTATCTCTACCCTCGCTTCATTTTCGGCGGCTTATT